TTAGGACGATTCCAAGGACCCGGCGAGGGAGGGGGGGCCCGAATGTGATTTCTACTGAGGGAGCCCAAGTATGCTGTTCAGGGGGCCCAGAATCCATAGCAGCGCCCCGAGACAAAAGTATTGGGACATACCTCTTCATTATTGAATTCAGGTGTTTAAATCATACCAGTTAGATCAATCTGCATTTATAAACATTTGTGAAAAAATGGGTCATTCTGAAGAGCTCAGTAAATTGTAAATGTTTACTGAGTAAATGTGAGTAAATGTAAATGTGATACTGTAATATTGTGAGAGGATTCCAGCTTTGCAATAAGTCAATTTGTGAAATTTCATCCCTGCTTTAGATATTCCACTGGTAGTGGAATTATTGGAAAGTGGAAGTGTTTAGAAACAGCAGCAACTCAGTCATGAAGTGGAAGACCAAGTAAAGTCACAGAGCGGGGTCACCGAGTGCTAAGGAGGATGGTGCATAAAAGTGGCCAACACTCTGCTAATTCCATAGCTGAAGAACTCCAACCTACCATTGGCATTAATATCAGCAAAAAACTATGCAGCGGGAGTTTCATGGCCAAGCAGCTGCATTCAAGGCTCACATCAAGTGCAATGCCAAGCGCAGGTTGGAGTGGTGTAAAGCACGCTGCCACTGGACTCTGGAGCAGTGGAAACACATTCTGTGGAGTGACAAATCGCACATCTTTCTTTTTTTGGCAGTCTGATGGGTTTGGATTTAGCGGATACATGAGAACTAGGGCTGCAAAACGATTCATTGCGATTAATCGCATTCAAAATAAAAGTTTATGTTTTCATACTATATGTGTACTGTGTATATTTATTATGTATATATAAATACACACACATACATGTATATATTAAGGAAAAACCTGTTAGATTTATATACAAAATATTTATATTTATATATAATATAAATTATATACAAATATATATATATACATACAAACATTTTTTAAATATATACATGTGTGTCTTTATATATACATAATAAAAATACACAGTACACACACATATAATATGTCAACATTAACTTTTATTTTGAATGCGATTAATTGCGATTAATCATTTTGCAGCCCTAACATCACCTGCCTGACTGCATTGTCCCAACTGTAAAATTTGGTGGACGAGGAATACAGTTATGGGGCTGTTTTTCAGGGTTTGGTCTGAGCCCCTTACTTCCAGTGAAGGGAAATCTTAACGCTTCAGCATACCAGGACTTTATGGACAATTCTATGATCTGTGATCACATTATAAGATCTATACCTCTACCCCATCAAACACCTTTGGGATGAGCTAGAACAGAGATTGCGAGCCAGGCCTTCTCGTCCAACATTATTGTCTGACATCACAAATGCTCAACTGAACGAATGGGCAAAAATTCACGCATAAACACTCAATAAAACTATTTAATTTATTATAGCAGCAAAGCGGGGAACAACTCCATATTAATGTCTATGTATTTAGATTGCAATGTCACTGGATAAGTCCCTGTTGGCGTAATGGTCAGGTGTCCCGACACTTAGTCCATATAGTGTATGTTAGTGAAATATGACAGAGTGTTTATTAAGATTCACCCTATTACATTAAACATAAACAGACATATCAGCGAACTGGCTAATGAAAGCCAATCAATTAATCAATCAAAAAAAAAAAAGCTAAACTAAAATTATAATATATTTCTGTCTATCACCAGTAAATTTAGAGAGAATGTAAAGTTGGCATGCTTTATTATTTATACAAAACCGTCGAGGACACTAATTATTTTTACCTTGATGTTCTAGTTTTTCATTTGAAGCCATATATTTACTGTTGTCACTTCCAGCTTAACAAAGCATATCATCTTACAGCCAAAGTAGATGCACACAGAATAATTTGTCTAGTTCAAGGGGCCTTAACAAGCGTGTTCTCTCACCAGGGGTCAAAATTGGTCTGACGTTTGGGGTGGTTTGTCATGGCTGTGCTTTCCGCCGCCACCGCTGGCACTCGACTCTGTCCGGCACTCTCATGGAACGAGTTGTCAGGTCGAGGAGAGGGGACTGCACAAAAGGACAGAACAAAAAAAAACAGTTAGACTATCAAAGCTTAAGTCAAACATTATTACATAAATACATACTGTATTTACATACACTAGCGTTTAAAAGTTTGGGGCCTTTTTGGGGATTCTTTTTTTAATATAATACTTTTATTCAGGAAAGACACATTAATCATATCAAAAGTGGCAGTAAAGACATTTATAATGTTACAAGTGGTTTCTATTTCAAATAAATGCTTTTGCCATCACAGGAATAAATTCGATTTTAAAATGTATTAAAACAGAAATAATTTGAAATAATATTTCACAATATGTCTAGTACATTTTCTGGGTACCTCTGTAAAAGCTTCCCACTCTGCGAGGCATCGAGTCACTGTAGAGCATTCTGTTTTCCTTGGATGAGGTTCCATCCTCCATATGAGTGTCATGGTACATCCCAGCCTGAGTTACAAGAGGATGGTCACACTACAGGATAGCATATAAAACAGCAGTTCCTACAACTTACTGCACAAACTGTCTTACTATAACGGAATATTTGCTTGGGGAGAAAGGAATGATTAAGGAAGAGAAGAATCAGTGAGAAAGAGAGGTTAAACTGACAGTTCATCCAAAAATGAAATTTCTGTCATCACTTATTCACCCTCATATCATTCCAAACCTGTGAGACTTTCTTTCTCCAATAGAACACTAAAGAAAAGACTTTTGACTATGGATTTTTTGGTTTGTTCGGCTATTGTGGGTCATGGAACATAAGCCACATATGCCAAGTCGTATCCCTTTTTTGTTTTGTCTCCATTTTGAAGTTCGAAAGCTTCAGACCCTACATTTTAATTGCATGTAAAAATAACATTTTTAGAATTTAATTCACTTAAAAAAGAAAGCTGAATTTAGAACAACATGATGGTGTGCAAGTAATAACAATTTTCATTTTTGGGTGAACTGTCTTTTTAACTAAGAACCTAGATATTTAATGCTAAAGACATGAGCTAGCAGTTAATGTGATGACATGAACATTTACAAAACATCCATATCGATGAAAGCTAAAAGTGAATCGCTTTTATGATCAATGCATTAAAAAAAACAAAGATAAGACGATGCATGGAAAACAGTAGCAACTAGTGAGTGTGTAAGTGGACGCGCGCGTTCTGTTCTGAGGGTCCTGTTGAGACCTCGGACCTCGTTTTTTGGGCATTGTGAGTGGAAGGAAGCTGTGTTGTCCCTCGTAGAATCTTTAATCGGGGGTCGAGAATGAGGCTTCTCTTTGGGAGACTGGTCATTCTGCAGACATAAACACACAGCAAAATAAGCAGACACTGGGAGACACTGGGGGTGTGCATGTAATAATCAGAGAGAACAAAACAAAATGCATGAATGCAAGATGCAGCAGAGCCATATCATAAATTAGATCACATACACGCATGCAAACATCACAAATCGAATCTCCTGAAATTATTACGGTGAACAAGCATCATTTGTAATATTCCTGTTTGCAAACAGTAGAGAAAACTTGTAATATTCAGACAAAGACGAACAGATGAATAAGAGGGCATCCTTGCTTGGATAGAAATATTCAAATGCTGATCAGGGGAACCAACGGAGATGAGCGAGATCAGCGCCTACTGTAATATGCTACAGGACACGGAGATAAAACGAGAGCAGGTCACTGACCCTGCTCAGATCTTGCGGGAGTTCTTCTCGAGAGGAACTGGTGTTGTGGCGTGGGAGTGTGCGATGCTGGAGCTGCGGCGAGAGGAGTTGTAGGCTACTGGCACGTGTTGGCACTCCCTGCCCGACCACCAAATTTGCCTCCTGGCCGTGCGGCCGGTGTCGCTCTCTCCGCACGTACATGGAGTGGCGATGAGGTCGCTGCTGCGAGGAAAATGGGCTGGTGTAGCCAAGACCGTAAGGATAGGATTCATGGGGGGAGGGCAGGTTGTGAGCGTGGCCGCCCCCTGCTGCCGCAGCCCTGCTTGGGTCCAGTGTGTCTGTAGCCTTCGGTTCATCCGGTGTCTTTTTCCGACCCGAAGAACGTCGTGAATCCAGAGTGCCCCCTTCTAGACGCGCGTTCCCTCGACTGCTGGGGCTGTGACCCTGCCGCTCCGTCCCAGCGTGCCGTTCGCCTCTGGGGCTCCCGGGAGCCGCGTTTAGATCCAGACAGCTGGACGGGAAGTAGCGGGAGCCCGAGCCTGATCCCACCATGGGATCGTCTAGGTGGAGTCGTGTCTCGGCCAGATTGCTCACAGACTTGGCATCGTTCAGCGCTCCGTGGCTCTTGGACAGGCTGAGGAAGGACGAGGAGCTTTTGGAGGAGGATGTGGAAGGCATGGATCCGTGCGAGGACTCCATGTAGTTATGGCGACTGTGTTTGTCCCCAGACTGCAGCGTGCTGGTCTTCCCTTCCAGGAAGGACGAGTGGCGGCCTTGTTTGGACGACTTGAGGTACTTGCCGGTAGAGGTGTCTCCTCCCACAGTGGCACCTCCAGCTTTAGGCCCCAGATTGAAATCAAACTCGGTCTTTCCCTTTGCGTCTTTGGGGCTGAGGAGGTGGGGAAGGTTGTTGTTGGCCAGGTCTTTGCTGCTAGAGGCCGAGCGGCTCAAGGTCTGGGCCTGGTAGCTCTTGGGGTGTAGCGTGGGACTAAGGGTGGATGAGGTCGGCATGTTGCTGCCGTTCAGGAAGCTGTCGGTGCTCCGGTGGAGGTCCTCATGGCGTGGTAGAGAAGAGCAGTCCTTGCTGTTAGCATGCCGGTGACCTGAACTCTTACTGCCGTGGCTCCTGCAGGGATAAACACAAAATGGTTATATTCTGGACATTTTTTGAACCAACTTCAAGAGGTGCAACCTGGGGTGATTTTAAAACAGCCATGAAAGAGCTCCCTTCAATGTATGCTGGACACCTGTTTGGTACTATTCATTTAAATAACACTGTAAATTTTCTTTTGTACAGAAATTCATGTAAATTCATTGTCTTCCAATATTTCTTGCCAATTTTCAGTTAAAAATGTAAATTCTGATCATTTTGGTTCCTATCTTTTCCTGGTTCACTGTTAACTAAAACTATTCTTTAAAACAAATCATTTGAATAAGGCTGAAAAAAAAACATGTAAAGATTTGAAGAAAAAAATTATACTTAAACAAAAATTAGACATGTTTCTCTAACTCCAACTAACCAGACTAAGATAAGTTTAAAAATGAATACTGAAATTAATGAATGGGATAGTTCACCCAAAAATGGAAATTCTGTCACGGTAGTCTTTGTACTCTTCGTGAACGTGCATCGAAGACTGACATGGAAGAGAAGAAATTGTTGATTAAAGTCGTTATTTGTTGTTTTCTTTGCACACAAAAAGTAATCTCATAGCTTCATAAAATTAAGGATGAACCACTGATGTTACATGACCTATTTTAACAATGTCCTTACTACCTCTCAGGGCCTTGAACGTGGTAGTTGCATTGCTGTCTATGGAGGGTTAGACGGCTCTCGGATTTCATCGAAAATATCTTAATTTGTGTTCTGAAGGTGAACGAAGGTCTTGCAGGTTTGGAGTTTGGAGAATTTTCATTTTTGGGTAAGCTATTAATTTAAACTTACTAAAAATAAAAATGAATTTAAAGGGTTAGTTCATCTCAAAATGAAAATTAGGCTGCGTTTCACTCACCCCCGAAGCATCCTAGGTGTATATGACTTTCTTCTTTCAGACGAATCCAGTCGGAGTTATATTAAAAATTGTCTTTGATCTTTCAAGCTCTATCGTTGTACTCAGCGGGTGTTGCATTCCTTCGGTTCAAAAGACGTGAAATAAAAAGCACCCTTCCACAAAAAAAGTGTCCTTCTGAGCGGCGCATGCGCAGCGCTGACCTCATATGTCATCCCCCCGGAGCTGCTTCCGTTTACAACAGTGAGCGCAAGCTACATTAAAGTGATTATTACGTTTTGAATATGGATATTTTTCTTACAAAAATGCATCGATTAGCTACAGGAGGCCTTTGTTCACCCCCCGGAGCCGTGTGAGACACTTTTTTTGTGGAAGGGTGCTTTTTATTTCACGTCTTTTGAACCGAAGGAATGCAACACCCGCTGAGTACAACGATAGAGCTTGAAAGATCAAAGACAATTTTTAATATAACTCCGACTGGATTCGTCTGAAAGAAGAAAGTCATATACACCTAGGATGCTTCGGGGGTGAGTGAAACGCAGCCTAATTTTCATTCTGAGGTGAACTAACCCTTTAAGAAATATTTAAGAAATATATAGAAATATTACAAAAAAATAAGAAAAAAATGCATGACATTTCAATTGAAGCAATTTCTAAAATTTAAACTACAATTTAAATGAAAACTAAACATATAAAAACATAGCTATTATAAAATATGAATAAATACTGTAGTAGTAAATTAATAATACTAAAATAACACAATGTTATTCTAATGTTATTAAGTGTTTTTTTCTGTAATGTTTCAAAGTCATGTTTACTTTAAAACAACCTTGAGCTTGGAAAACTAATTTTAACTAATTAAAACTAATGTAATTTTAAACAAACCTTGAGCTTGAAAAGTTTTTAAGAACACAAGAAACAAATTAAGTGAATACTTTTGACTGTGTACACATAAACCTTTACATTTTACAAAAAGCCAGGTGTTCTATTTATGAGTCACACTGAAAGGTGAAGTGTAATTTTGTTATAATGTTATAACATACTTTCTCACATTTCAGTGGCAGCATAGGTTATTCAGGACAGGATGACTTCCTGAAAAAGACTTTGTGTGGCACTTTTAAAGGGGTCATATGATGCGATTTAAATTTTTCATTTCTCTTTGGAGTGTTACAAGCTCTTGGTGCATAAAGAAGATCTGTAAAGTTGCAAACACTAAAGTCTCAAAACCAAAGAGATATTCTTTATAAAAGTTAAGAGTTAACCACGCCTACCTAAAACGGCTCGTTCTAACACGCCCCCACATGTCTACTTCACGATCTGGGAAGATTTGCATAACGCCGCCCAACTGTTCATGCAAAGAAAGGCGGCGTAACTTTTATTCTCGCTGTAGTATTGTTGACGCTGCAGCCATGTCGTGAAGACGCTGTGTGCTTCGTTGTGAAAGCGAAACT